TTAAGCATTTATTTTTAGCCAGAAATAATACTATAAAAACACCAGTAAAGATCGCATTTAGAAAGCAGTCACATCAAATACATATGGGTACTAAGACCGTAGCCTGTGAATGTTGATGGCATGGCCAGTCTGCTGTGAAAATGGCCGACAGAGCTAAACCACAGCAGTGAATTTATGAGATCCTGCTGCACCAGTGCCCATATCAGAGTGTTGGCGGGGTGGAACATTCTAGATAAAGGTCTCCCCGACTGCAGGCCTTCCCCTTCCTCAGGCGCCCATCTGCCGCTTTGGTCCTCCTTCCCGATAGAAGCATCTACATCACGGGTCGACAGGATGCACCCCAAGGACGGCACGTCTGATCGCTGGGGCCCTGAGCAAGTTGGCTCGCTTTCCAGTGCCTCGCTTTCCAGTGCCTCGCTTTCCAGTGCCTCGTTACCAGAATCACTCCTCAAAATCCCTCAAGATCAGATCCACTTACACCTCATCAGTTATTCACCTTTGCATTTTGTCGGAGAGTTTCTGTTTGTATAGGTTGCTCTGTGATTTAAATTGCCTGCTTCGCGCTTGTGCCGCATCCCTTGGTTTGGTTGCCGTAGGTTGTTTTTGTGTTTCCTCCTGATTGAGGCGCTGGCCGAGGCCCCTGGTCTTGACAGGGCATCTGTTCGCACTTGGCGGGCGGCCATAGACACCCAGCGGCTTTTCCTCTTCCAAGGTTCAGGACCAGGTGATTCTCCTGCCATCACTCCCACAGCACTAGACCGGCAAGGCAAACATGGCAGAGGACTAATTCAGCACACAAAGCCCAACCCCCCCCCACACACGAAAATGCTGTAGGGAGCAAAACTGTTTGAACCAGGTCAGATTTTCTTTGGAGCTGAGCATAATTGAACCTGAAATTGGCCGACTAAAAGCTGACTCGAAAGATGCCAGTGTTTCTCACTGCTGTTACTATGTAACTTACTGCTTAACTCAATTTCAGTCAGTCCTGACAGGCACTGTAACGCAGGGTCCGTCATTGTTTTATTTAGGTGAGTAAAACATTGCCTATATCTAGTTGTCGTATAAATGTGATTTTTGTGTTTTTAGCATCGCTTTGGATTCCCAGTGGTAATTCCTTGGCTGTGTATCTTTCATTGTCCCGGATATGACTTGGTCACCCCTCATGCAGAAGGAGAGAACATCTCCACCCCCCTAATCATAAACATCTCAACCCTCCCCCCAGATCAGACAAGATCGTGACAGCAGAGATATTTGTTGACAGTGTTTGGAAGTATTATTCCCACCCACAGTGGAAGCAAGCTTGTCATTGGTGATGGTGATATTTTCACTCATTTTTCTTCTGGTGTCAGTTTGGTAAAGGAACAGCTACAATGTAAACTCCATGCAGCAGGTTATTGGCCGGTTTGGATCATGCGGTGTGAAGAGCACGGCTGTACAGAACCTACCACAGGTGTCTGTCCTCTTCCTCGACCCCCCCCCCCTAATAGAGCCTTAACCAGGCCTTCACCACGATGCATTTTCAGGATGAGCATCTCCTCCCTGGAGGTGCCATTACTTGGCCGAAGTATAAAGCAAGACACCTCCTCCCTCAAAGAAAGGCCTCAGTTTACTGCATTTTGATGGACATCATTCCTGGCTGTTTGAAGACAACCCCCCTCCCTTTAATTTTTCATCCTCTGGGACCTCCTTTGCCCAATCTCAAGCTTCCGCGATGTTGTAGGGTGCAGATTCACACGCTGAAATGCCTGAAGGACTGGGGAGGAGAGACAGAGATACGCGCGGCGTATCGATCCTGTGCTGTGAGAACCACATCCTGTTCTGCTCCGAAATCCGCTTCCGACGGAGACAAACCTGCTAGCGAGGCTCGAGGTGCACAAGAGCGAGTGCTTGTGCGAAAGATTAATTCCGTTTTAAAATGAAGTCTAATTAGATACATAAGCAGAGTTACAGAATGAATAATTCAGACAAACTAACGGTGGATGACTGATTTGCTGACGAGTCCAAGTCCTGCAACATCTCAGCAGCTGTGCAGACGAGTCGAATCATAGTCCGTTCATAACATCCGTCTTGCTAAATCTCTGGTTTTAATGACTCCGGGTGCACTTTAATTGCCCCCCCCCCAAACCCCCATGTTTCGCAGAGAGCCCACAATGTTTCCGGGAAATCCTACCGGACCTCCCTCCTGCCGCTGATGTTCACGAGGCCCCCACGCCATGGCCGGCCGCACCGTAAACGTCTTCCCCCGGGGCTCTGCTGGCTCCCTGCCCCCGAGCCCGGTCCCACGTTAATGTCCCAGCCGCCCAAGCAATCACCCAGGTCAACAGAGCCTCCAGTAGCTAATTGCTTTCAGGAGATAACGTGTTTTTGACTGCGTGCTGAGAGACCTATCGAATAAGCACATAATGAATCCTCAACTGCCCCGATGTCAATATCATTCTACGTGCACAGAGCTAATTAATATGAAAACCTTTGATTGTTTCGTTTTTAATATTTAATTTAATTTAAATGTAATTTCTAATAAATTGCGTGCTGTGCAGGGAGCATAACTAATGTAATTAATCAATGAGCCATTACTAAAGGTGAGGGGCTGTTATTGTAACACACCATCACAGTATTAAAACACATCTGACAGCTATAAAATCCCATAATGAGGACAGTAGCCGCTCCTGGGGGAGGAGCTACTTGCCATGGTCTGAGGCACCTTTAATTATTGATAAACGCTTTAGTCATCCACGGTGTGCAGATGACACAATTCCCAAATAGTAAAAGAAAACGTAATTATCTCTTCAATGGAAACCGATACCAAAGACTAGAGGAAGCCGAGTCTGGCTGGAAATGTGAAAGGCGGAGGTGCTCGCTCACTCCTGCTCGCCCACAGGGTGCGTTTGGGACTGCTGCTGGGAGACAGTGGGGGGCAGGGGTCTCCACGGGGGGGTGCGGTCCGGGGACAGGCAACTGTACTCGCCTGTGACTGAGGATCGAGTACAAAGCGGGTCATCCCTGTCCGGCCAGGAGCGATGGCTCCTCTCGTGCCCTCCTGGGTTTATGTTTTAGATTTCGTAAGTCCTTTGATTTTCCTGCCTGAAGTATCGTAGGGGTGATAACAAAATGGCCGCCTTCCATCCCCCAGACCCTGCTGTGCCATGGATCTGCCTGAACACCAGAAGCTCTTTCCACAGGTTTCATAGCCACTTCACACTAAGCAGGACGGACCTGCACCCCCACCTGTGCTCCCATTGGCTGCTCCAGCTAAGTGCCCGCCCCCATCAACCATCAAGGTGAGCCGTGTGACACACAGAGCCACCTCTAAGCTGTTAAAGGAACCAATAACCCAGCGATGTCACTGACCTGTATTCCAATCAGGAGACACAGGGGCACCTCAAAGGCTGGTACCCACCGCAGCCCAGCAGCAGCAGCAGGAGAGCTTTAATGACCCCCCCCCCCCCCCCGGCCGTTCCTGTTCGTAGAGGGGCCTCTGCCCTGGAGGAACAGATACATCAGTGCTGCACCGATGTTTGCATAAATTCTATAGTCTGTGTGCAGCACACAACAGGGACTAGGGCTCCTGGGGGCAAACATTGCCCCCCCTACAGTAGCATGGGGGTGAGGGGGGGCATACACACACAGACATACAGACACATGCAGACACACACAGACATACAGACACATGCAGACACACACAGACATACAGACACATGCAGACACACACACACACACACACACACACACACAGACAGACAGACACACACACACACAGACATACAGACACATGCAGACACACACACACAGACGCGCACACAGACACGCAGACACACACACATAGACACACACAGACAGCCATGCAGACACACACACACACAGACGCACACATACACAGACAAACACACAGACACGCACACACACAGACACACACATACACAAAATAACTTGCACACAGCATCAGTCAAGCATCTCCAAAATCAGAATGCTGTATGTACAGATGTACAAAACCACATAACTAAGTCATAAATGCCAGAATATACAAATAAACAAGGAAGCTTATCTGCATGGTATAGAATTGAGCGACTTGCCGTATCCACGGTGATTTTTTGAGTGTGATAAGAGATGAGAGTAATCTCCTACCTTCATGCTGCACACATCACATTTTTATGTCAGTTTTTTGGTGGGGGGAGGGGCAGCTCTTCTGGGGTCTGATAGAGAGAGTGAGGGGGGGAAAGGGGGGGGCAGTAAATATTCCAGCACAATGGACCCTAAAAATACGGCCGTCCTCCCAGGAGAGCAGCAGCAGTGCACCCCAGTTTTAATGAGTTCAGTATGGCTGCCCCCCCTCCACCCAGAAACAGGAAGCACACAGAGATGTATTTATGGTGCCTCACGGAGCGGCCCCACCTGAAGGACCTCTTACCCTGTAAAAAGCATCTCAACAGAGGCATGTCACTGGGAGACTGCAGCCTGCCATTTTCCACACAAGGACCCCCCACCCCTGCCTTTAATTATTTGGTCTGGACCCGATAAAAGAGATCCATCTTATTCTATTGTCGCGTGCGTACACATGTGATAAATCACAACGGGATAAAGGCAACAGGTAATTCCCACTGCGCCTTTAAGAGCACAAAGGGACGAGAAATAAAGCAGGAAATATGCTCATTGTGTGCAGACGCTACACGGCGCCCATCCGTTCATGTGGAGGACGTCAGATTCACCTGGTTACTTGTTCATATTCATTACTCCCACTTACTCTGCACTGTGAGCAGATATAGCTGCTGACAGAAGGCAAAAGGACAGCATCCTAAAATAAATACTGTTAGCAGACTGATCGCTTTACCTGAGGAGATCATAGCTGTCATCGTCCTGCTAATCATGAAGACACAAACCCTGGCCTATTTGCTTGTTAGCTAGTACCTTACCCTAGTGGTAAGAGAGAATGACATTTTCCCAGTTCGAAGGCACAGATCTTATAAAATATGTCCTTTAATTCTTGTGTGACATCAAACAGAGACAGACAGGAAGTGACTGGGAAGGGGGGGGGGGGTCAGAAAACAGTTAACTAGTGCAAATATATGACATGAATTTTTAATATGTTGTTGCGATCCTATCAGCAACCTTAATTAGAACTGCAAAATGACTTTCAGAAAACATTTCATGGTAGTAACTTGACCCACAAGAGCAATTTAACAATAATTTGATTTAAAATGCATGGGCCCTCCTCCACTTGCGAATATATTAACTTGCTCAGACAGCTAAACGTCGCGGCAGCGCTGAATCCGGGTTCGCGGATGCCGGCGTTGCTCAGCGGGGGCTGCCGGGACCATCGCGGCCCGTCCGACGTCCAGAGCGCGGTACATGGTCTATATGCTTTTCAGGGGCATTAGCGGAGTCCGGGTCCTCACACACATACACACATGCATGTACAGTAGCACTGGAAATCTCGGGGCTGTCTTTATGGGTCGAGGTCACTATTCCACACTCCGAGCCTCTACGAGTCTGTTTATTTCACATAGTTTTCCTTATGCTTTTTCGCCCTCGCCAGCTACGTGGTCCATCCTCAGTCTGCTTTAACTATCTCCGCTCCGGGACACAGACGACGAGACCTGCCTTGGGGTCCGTGGCTGGTCTGCATGTTTTTTCTTGCTACCGCGTGACCTGCAAGAAGAAGCAGAGACACGACACGTCAAGAGCGGACAGGCGAGGGTAAAACCTCAGCGACAAAGCAGCCGCCCGGACGGGCTGCGATTCGCTACCCGGGGCCAATCAGCTTTCAGCTAGGGCCAGTACCCCTGTGACCCCACCCATGTATACAGCCCAGGCATTAATACAAAGGTATCAGTGCACACATTACTGGGTTGCTGCTTCCACGATTGGGCACTGTGGACTGTAGTCACCAAATGAGACGAGACATTCAGTGGGGGGTGTGCGACATCACGGGAGATGACCACTGGGAAGTGGTGCTTCCAAACCACTGTGTCGCGGTTCACTTTTGTGGCGACGTCTTCCTCCACAAAAGCAAGGAGAGAGTGAGAGAGAATATGACTGGGCTGGTGAGGGCTGGGGGTGTTAGAATGGCAGTGACATCTGCTGTTGTAAGTCACGGGTGCTGAGCTCTTATTTTACAGTGAGCAAATGTAGAATTAATGCCCCCCTGAGCCAGGATCCCCCCCCCCCCGAGCGCACTCGTAACCCGTTCCAGCTGACTGCCCCCTCAGTCACGGCAGAAAGCAAGGATGATGGAAACGGCTTCACCCAGCAGTCACCTGACCACCGGGGTCGTTAATGCACACAGAAGTCCGACGTTTATCCCTCGATTTTGTCGACATTCTTGCCAATTTAATTAGGTCCCTTAATGTGAAACCCTCGATGGAAACAGCAGCCATAATGCATGTTAATGAACGCAACAGATGTTGCGCTGTTACTCCGTTCTGCAAGTAAACGCTCGTACTGTGTTTCTCTTCTCATTGCAACCGTTTCTTTTTTATAGTTCACCTGTGAATAAACCACACCTGCTCGATTTAACAAGCCGCAAATTAACTTTCATAGATCACCGGATTACCAGCTCCATCAAGGGTCTTCATATGAATCAATTAGTCTCTGACATGCCGCACTCTCGTTCAATTAGCATACCTGTCATTAGGCTTCGGCATGACCCCGGATCTCCTCGGATCAGCCCGTCTCTCTTGATCCCGTGTCGAGATTCATGAATGAGGTTCGCTGATCAGGAGATTTTCTCTCCTCTATAATTTTACAGTCATCGTGGCTTTATAATGTCATTACTTCCCGTTCCATGGAGGAGCCTTTACCACAAACCTGAACTTACTAACCGTCCTGCTAGACCTGTGCGTTTAAAAATAGGTGATGAGTGTTGGAACTGATTAAATTCTGTCCCCCCCCCCCCCCCCGCACCACTGCCATCCTTCAAGCCGACATATGCATTATGCCGTACTGACTGTTGGTAAACTGAAACATTAACATCTGAAACATCACTGTGACATTACCACTCATATTCTGTGAGTGGGAAGATAAATACGACCAGGTTCTTCTTTATCCTGTGGTTGTTGGATATACAGACATTGTGTTGTGGGGTGGATGTGCTGCCCCATCCGGAATGGCCACTGTAATCCTACAGATGAGTGGACGTGGTTTAAGCTGGACGAGCCGCCAGACACTCAGCATTCAGTGCCAAGAGCGTAGCATCTCTCCTGGGTGCCAGGGCCCTGCAGGCCACACCCCCTCCCGCCGGGCACCGCCGGCCGTCTCCTCACCTTAGTGGTCTTCACCTTGTTGCCGGTGCTGCAGGACCAGCCGGTGAGGTCGGGAAGAACCTTGCACTCCTCACCGTCCAGGCACGGCTGCATCTGGCACCACCACTTCTGGAGAACGATGGAGGCTGGAGAGCAATACGGAAGGGGGGGGCACACGTGAGGGACGGCCTCCGAGCCCAAGCAGGATCCTACACCGGCGTTTCCCAGTCCGGGCCCTGGGGCCCCCAGCGGCCCCTCCCAACTCCCTACTAGAGATGTCCGGCAGGGAGTGAAAACGTGGACCGTCCATGGGTGACCAAAGACTGGATTGGGAAACACTGTGAGTTCCGCGCCTGTGACTGTCCTTCAAATAAAGCTCATCCTCAGGTTTACCTTCAGCACAAACCACATGTACAGTGCTGGTCAACATTATTGGAGACTCAGAGTTTTTTGTATGTCATGTACAATATCTTCGGAAATTGAAATGTACCAACTTTGTATGAGAATATTTCAATCGTATGTCCAAAGTTATTCGAGAAAAAGGTACCTTTTCGAATTAAATGCAGTGATTCCACAGAATTAAAAAGCGAAGTATCAGCGGGACGACGTTAAAAGCTCCCCCGATAATTGGCTGCGTAGCCCTTCGTAAACGTTAAAAGCTCCCCCGATAATTGGCTGCGTAGCCCTTCGTAAACGTTAAAAGCACGCTCCCCCGATATTTGGCTGCATAGCCCTTGGTAACAATACACCTCTAACCTCTCTGCACCTGTCTGATGCCAGCATCTGCATCTCTTCAGTTATATTATGTTCCAGCTCTTGAATTTTTGCAGGATTGCGTGCGTTTTTTCCTTCTTGATCATTCTTGTGTGCTTTTCGGATAAGTGCCTCGGATCGTTGTTCTGGTGCACGACCCATGATCTTCGACCCAAGCCTACTTTCCTGACACTGAGCAGGACATTTCGCTCTAAAATGCCTCAGCAATCCTACGTTTACTCAGGATTCCTTTAATATATTCAAGGCCCCCAGTACCTGAAGCACATAAGCAGCCCCCCCATATCTATCTACGCCTGACTGTAGCTTCTCTGCTCCATCTCTTATAAGCTTCATTCTGTCACCTATAAACAAATCACTGCCTTTTTATGGTTTTCCTCCAGCCGTCATGCCCTCCCTGACCCTCGTCCATAAAGCCCTTCCTGGTTTAGTGTACTGTGTGTGCTATAGGTTGAAACATCACCTCGTATGGTTCCAGGTCAGCCCTAAGCTCTGTAGATGTTTGATGTGCTGTTTTTTTCCCCCCACAGTTCTCGCCTGCTCCTCGAAGGCTTCTCTGATGAATTTCCCTCATTCCATTAGTCTGCGGGTGGTTCTTGATGGTTCTGCTGTTGAGTGTTGAAGCAGGGGTGCCGAGGTTTTTGGACATGTCCTTGTACCCTTTAGAATTCTGATAGCTGATGATAGCATTTTTGATGCTCTCAAATAGCTCTAATCATTACCTTTCTGAAAAAAGGATCCGGGACCGAAAGTGGCCATTTTAAGCATTAAAGTCATCACTCATTGGGTAATTCAAGTCTTGTGAGCATTGTGGGCACAGGTGAGTCTAATTTCCCTGCAATAACAATCATATACTTTTTTCAAACTGATCTGAATTCTTCAGAGGTGCCACTAATCATGTCATAGCAATGATTCCGATTTTATATTCTCTCCTCCCTTTCCCTTGTCATCACTAACACATGTATATCAAGGACATGACTGCATTTACACATAAGCTATTTCACGGCACATTTTCCAGGAGATATTGTACAGTGCTGTAGGTGAAATTCAGAGCTGCCAATGGTGTTGACCAGACCTGTAATAACACTAATTACAACAAGTGACCAATAACATCCGCATGAAACTGAATTTTCTCCATCGGAATTAACAAATAAATATGAACAGGTGGAGTGAGTGCGTAAAAAAGCAGTCCTGCTCAGGAGATGAGGGCGTCACCGGGACACACTGCAGCTATACTTGGTGACGTTTCTCAGGAACGTATGTGGATTCAGCTGCTGACTGAAACATACTGAAAAGCGCTTTGACATAGACTGTGATTTTCACGGGGATGAGGGGAGGGAGAAGAGGACTGGAGGGCATGCAGAAGCAGAAAGTCAACCCCCACCCCGAGCACACTGGATCACGTGTATGCGTGTGTGAGCATGTGTGTGTGTGTGTGTGTGTGTGTGTGTGTGTAAGGTTTTATACTGCATTGAATCCTTCTGTAAGTCAAAACGTATATAAGTCAGGTTCCACTGCTCCATACCATTCAAAACAGCATACAGAGAAAAATACATCAAAAATACACTAGTAGTACTCACTAAATAGTAGATCTATCAGCCTGTTTATCAATCCATAAATCCATCCATCCATCAATCCACCTAATCACTGCACCTTTGAAAAAAGATGGATGTGGAGGTTGCAGAGCGCCGTGGACACGCCTGCTGAGGCTGTATGTTTACTGATGTACAACGACACCGAGAACAGTGAGGACAGGAGAAAAATGGCTGGAGGTGCGGGAAGACTGGGTGGTCGGGGAGGCCACTGCGGGAAGACTGGGAGGTCGGGGGGGCGCTATAGGAGGTCGGGGAGCCACTGCGGGAAGACTGGGAGGTCGGGGAGGCCACTGCGGGAAGACTGGGAGGTCGGGGGGGCGCTATAGGAGGTCGTGGAGCCACTGCGGGAAGACTGGGAGGTCGGGGAGCCACTGCGGGAAGACTGGGAGGTCAGGGGGCCGCTATGGGAGGTCAGGGGGCCGCTATGGGAGGTCGGGGAGTGCCTGGGGCTGGGCAGCTGACTGCCAGGAAATGAGATGGAGGGGAGCGACACACTCGGGCACCAGCAGGCACATAAGAGGCGGAGTTTCGCAGTTACGCATCCCGGCAGCCACTGGACACTGACCCCGGAATGACGGGAAATGGCCGTCTGTCAGACAGCAGAGCAAGCGAAGAGAGATGGGCTCCATACTGCTGGTAGGATGCTGCTCTTCTCCAGCAAGTGATCTGTGTTTCCCAACCCGGTCCTCGGAGACCCCTGGCCAGTCCACATTCAGCTCCCATGGACTCTCTGGGGGTCCCAAAGGACCAGGAGGAGAAAGACTAGTGGAGACAAACCTCTCATCATCATCTAATGGAGAGATTCCCAGAAGAGCTCCTGTCTAGACCGTCGGCTCACCCCCCAGCGCCTACCATGCAGGGTCAGGTCAAGTCACACCTAATAAAGGAGGACGAGTAAAAGTGTAAAGGTCACCACAAAATTCTGAGGGACCAGATTCAAATCCCCCCTCCTACTCAAGCATTACAGCAAGAGAGAAGTCAGTTTGCTGGAATTAAGGCCTATGGCAGCTATTTTTCTAGGAAGAGCACTAGAGAATCTGAAACTGTGGGGTGGGTGGGGGCTGAGAAAATCCGCAAGCATGGGAACAGCGACTGGCGGGGGGGTGGACTCACGCTCAATGGACCAGTGAATGAGGGTGACGTGGTGATGACAGTACAATGATGTCAGCAATATTGGAAAGGGTGGTATGGGGGTTAAGGCTTTGATTCTGCTTAGGGTCAGGTGTGGTGTATGGGCTAGGCTTAGGGTTCTGCTTAGGGTCAGGTGTGGCGCTTGGGCTAGGCTTAGGGTTCTGCTTAGGGTCAGGTGTGGCGCTTGGGCTAGGCTTAGGGTTCTGCTTAGGGTCAGGTGTGGCGCTTGGGCTAGGCTTAGGGTTCTGCTTAGGGTCAGGTGTGGTGTTTGGGCTAGGCTTAGGGTTCTGCTTAGGGTCAAGTGTGGTGTATGGGCTAGGCTTAGGGTTCTGCTTACGGTCAAGTGTGGTGTATGGGCTAGGCTTAGGGTTCTGCTTAGGGTCAGGTGTGGTGTTTGGGCTAGGCTTAGGGTTCTGTTTAGGGGTCAGGTGTGGTGTGGACCCAAATATTTGCAGCTGTATACTCTGACTTAGCGAACGATTCTACTCAAGGGAACAATGACAATGTGTCGACCTACAAGCTCGGCAAGGAGATACAGGCACAGCTCATGAAAGCCGTGGCGTCTGTACCACTCGCTGTGACCAGACACTCTGACCATTCAGGTCGGGTCCAGTCCGGACGGGTCCAGGTATGACCCCTGAAAAAAGCTTGTTGGTCCTTTGAAACAACCTTAAATGTCTTTATGCTGGCCAGCATTTATACACAAAAAGAGTCATCTTAGGATGCAACCAGAAGCTCCACCCCCCCACACTTTTTATTCAACCAATGGGAACCATCCTTGGCCCTGCCGGGGGTGGGGTATAGGGGGCATGGTTGAAAGAGCTTCTCCCTCTAGGGCTGTTGAGCACATACTGTGATTTATTTAGCAGGGACACAATAACGGACTACTGTAATTTAGCTGAATAATCTTAAGCCCTTTATTAATTGGACTGTCAGCTATGATGTCGGCTGCTGTAATTATGTTTACCTGCTGCTGCAGCAGGAGAAACAGCTCCAACAATCAGAGGGCCAGCCCACCCTGTTAGACTACAGGCCAGCACTCCAACAATCAGAGGGCCAGCNAGACTACAGGCCAGCACTCCAACAATCAGAGGGCCAGCCCACCCTGTTAGACTACAGGCCAGCACTCCAACAATCAGAGGGCCAGCCCACCCTGTAAGACTACAGGAGAGAGGGCAGGTACACCCTGAATCGGACGCCAGCCCAGCACAGGGCACATACACACACAAACACTATGGACAAGGTAGAGAGACAAATACACCTGTGCCGGCAGAAATTCACACAATCACGAGAGACAAGCACATATCACACACCCAGCGGGGGGGCTCCGCACCTCCAACAATGCCAGACTGTAAGTACCTATCGGCAAGAGATAATTAACTGACAGAGGTGACCGATCTAAAGGGTTATTGTGCTTATTGTAGATTTGAACACGTAAGTCTACAATTTAGCTAGATTTGTGTGAACTATGAACCTTGAAATGATCATTATCTCCAGTAACAAATTAACACAATTCATGTTTACCAGCTTAATGTGCATAAATATGGTTCATTTTCGCCTGCTATAATTTACATGCGATTCTACTCTGTAGCATTTGCCAAATCTGCCACCAGATTCCATATTTATTTCACGCATTTTCCTACAAATGA